CTGCACCATCAAAACCGTCCATGTCGCTTGTACAATTCCTGTAAACTGCTGCACACTTTGATGGTGTTCTATAAATAAGACTAATATTTCAGTTTGATATATTAAGTACTTGTTTACAAGGGAGATGATTAATCACTCCTCATTAATCAGCAGAGAGCCAAACATGCCTTGTTTTTCACACCTGGAGATATTACTCTTTAAAATTAATTAATAATAAATAAATACATATTTAGCATAATGGCTCAGGAAGGAATGTAGAAGGTTGTGTTATTCTAGCTCAGCCCACCGGCCGGCCTCTCTGCACTAACTGGCAACCGGCCACCAGCGTAAGGTTCACACTGAGGTGTTTCCGAACGTGAGAGGCAGAGCCAGAGTTTCCTGCATGCTGAGGATGTCTTCTGTCCCTGAGTCACAAAGACGCGGGCTCCGTCTTTTTCTGTGCTCCGAATGCAGTCAGTGGCCAAGAGGAAAACGGCTTCTCCCAGCCAAAATAGCCCTCCAGCTGAAATATGGGAACGGTCATAGCGGCCTCTCATGTTCTGTTCTTGGAAAGATCACAACAGGATAATATAAATGTGAAACGTTTTGGATACAGAAGAAGAAGGAGAAGGAGAAGGAGAAGGAGAAGGAGAAGGAGAAGGAGAAGGAGAAGGAGAAGGAGAAGGAGATGTAAATGCTAAGGGCCCTTAGAAAAATACAGAGGCAATATGAGGATGGATGTAATGTACAGTATTAGGTGTAAAATCCAGAAATTTGTTCCGGGATACAGAAGTTATCTTTCTAATAAAAACCAAATACTGATGGATTTATTCAGCATATAAAATATGTGGAAGGGTGACATCTAGGTGTCTCCAGAAAGAAAAGAAAGAGGCCTTCCTGTGGCTTATCACCTGAGTGGTTATCAAGCAGCACTTTCCTGAGCATTTCAAACTCTGCTGGGTTCCAAATGCGTTCATCTGGAAGCCAGTTTGTGTGGATTGCTTCCTGCTCAACTAGATTTAAGATGGACTCTGCTGCCTCTCAGGCGCGCTCTGCAATTTGCTCATAGAATGGCTTGCACCGGAGCACTTCAAGCCAGTGCCGGCCTTCTGGGCATATGCTAGAAAATGGTGAAGATTCCTACTCAAGGAATAAATAGGAAAGAATGAGTGAAAGGCGGACCGTTAGGACTGGCCCATCAGCCAGCAGAGATCACAGGCAAATAGACCACCATATGAACAAGGGCTCGCCCCTGGGGTCACATGACCTGGGAGTCTGAAGGGGCTCTGCTAAGCCATCAAGCTCACAGGTTGCTCTGTGGCCATGTGTAACAACTGCCATAGTGAACCACCAAGACATACAACTGACCCCCTCTTGGCTTTCTTTGCTATTGCTTTCTGGGAACCCTCCCACCCCTTTCTATCTAGCCTTGAGCCTCAAAATTTCTTGCTGATCTCCCATACTGCCCCCACTCTGCTTAGCTTTCCAGGGTCAAGCTGACTAGGCACCCTTCTGAGACTGCAAGTCTGAAAATCATATACAACACAGCCATCATTGCCAATCTGTGCCCCTTCCAGGTTGTTGGACTACAACTCCTATAATTCCTTGATAGCATGGATGTTGGCTGGTAATTCTGGATATTAGCATTCAGCACATCTGGAGCACCCCAGATTGGAGAAGAGAGAAAAATCTGTACCATCCAGATGGAGTTGATCCCAACCTTTTCTTGCCCACTCAGAGAAATTGAGACCTGAAGCGTCTGAAGAATCACCGGTTGTCCAACTTGGCTGCAGAAGGTGAACACAGACAGGTGGATGAACAAGGCTGGTATCTCCATGGAGAGGACAAAGATAGATTAGCTTCACATGGCTCCTTTTGCAGAAACAGGTTGCTAAGAGGGGATAGATTTCCAGGGTTAGAACAATATGAAAGGATATGGCTTTTGTAGAGAGTAAAGAAAGGAAGAAAGTAGCTACAGTGGAGACCTCATCTTCATTTCCTTGTTCCCTTTTCTAGAGCAAAAGCTGAATCCTGCAGCATTTCCGGGCACTTCCTGGTAATGGTGGCCAGGCCCTTGCCCTGGACGGTGACCACTGATGGGCAGCATCTGAATGGCTTTGGGGACACTCTCCTCCCAAGGGAAATGGCTCTTCTCTCCAGAGAGCAGCCACGGGGATCTCTTCATTTCCCAGCTCTGCTCTGATTGACCAAAAACTGTTTCCAAGCACAAGCGTGGCTGTTAAAAGATTCATTTTAATGTAGAAGATTAGGAAAAACTCATTGCTCCCAGATACACTGTAAATCAGCTGAAAAACGGGTTTTAACAATAGCTAAACACACAAACTGCTCAAGAGGCTAAGCAGCTATTGTTTTATGAAAAGGCATGGCCTCCATTTGGTGAATTTTATGCAAAATCCTCACGTGGGAATCCTCAGTAAATCTCTTGTATGAGACCATTGCACAATTCATCTTTAATTATGAGATACTTATTAATTTCTCTTCCAATCTTCATGAAAACAGCCTGGGTTGACCTTGGCTCTGATTAGTATCTTTTCCTAAAACTGAGAGAAATTGGCACATCCGTAATCTGAAGAAGTATTGCGTAGAATTGGCTTCAATTTTGCTTCTGGCTTTTAAATACCTTAAAATTCTTCCATGCCTGCAACAAAGAATATTGGCTAATTTTCTCCTTTTCTTTGGATCTTGAACTTTCATGATGCAACAGCAGATTTCTTCCCATCAAGGATCTGAGAGAGCGTGAGTAGAAATCATATATCTGTACATGTATAATCTGCTTTCCAACAATAGAAGCTTTAGCCTAATCATGAACTGCCTTAAATCTGCATCAGTTGCTAGTCTTCTAAAGTGGTTAAAAAGGCTTGTGGGGTACCTGTACTGACCTGTAGCTTTTCCTGCTCTGGCAAACAAGGGGGTCAAAGGAAAGGGCTGGAACAAAGTTGCCCAGTCTTGGCCTGCAGCTTTTGAACTCGGATTTCTGACCAGCATCTCCAGTGGTGAATGGGGCTGCTGAATTGCTGATGGTCCTGCACTGATCCAGGGGCAAATGTAAATAAGACACTGTCGGGCGGGCCCAACGGGCCCAACGTACAAAAGAAATTCAGTCCTGATTCCACAGAGGAGCTGGGCAGGAAACAAATCAGCTTCAGGATGCCTGGAGGGGCTGAAGGAGTTTAGCTGGGAGGGAGGGAGGAGACGGAAGATGCCGTCTGAACCATACAGAGAGCAGAAAAGGGCTGAGCCGGAGCATCCCAGTGCGGATGGGCACATTCACGCCCTTTTCTTGGGAATGACGCGGGCACAGGGGGCCACTGCCTGCTTCTACGCCCAGGATCTCTTGGACGTCGTCCTGATCTTGCTCAGGCAAGGCCAGATGGGTGCTGGATGGATGGACCTGGGGTCCCAACCTCAGACAAAGGGGGGAGGAAGGCAAAAGCAAACTCCCAGGCCTTTTCTTCCCTCTTGGCCTGCCCGGAGAGAAAAGACGTCTGCCTCCGCCCTCAGCATTTTCCTGCTTCTTACACAGCCAGGCAGGCCCAGCCGGGGCACTTCGTTCTTAAGCAAAGGGGCTCAGAACCCACCTTTTCCAGACCCCCTTGCCCCCCGTGGCCTGGCCACAACTGCACAACCACAACTGGGGGTTTCAAGCCCAGGGCATGTGGAAGGGGAGGCTTCAAAACTCTGTTTAAGCCTGTTGTTTATGCTTTGCTTGCGAAGATCTCAGAGCACAGCTTTTCCTTGCGAATTTCTGAGGAGATGTTCCTGTTTCCACACCACTACTGTTATTTTCTGGCCCACGAGTCCATCAATAATGGTGAGTATGATAGGAGGCATTTATAAACAACGGCAACAGCCCAAACAGAAGCTGCATAAGCCGTGGGCCTAAATGCTTCTGCTGTTGCTGCTTCTGCAGGAGGCGAGCAAAGAAAAGCGAGCACGGCTGGAAGACGGATGATATGACGATGTCGTAGGATGCATTTCCACAGCTCCACATTAGAGAAAAGACTTCTGCTGCTGAAAAACAACCACCGCTACGATGTTAATTGTCCCACTGAATCCCCATTTGGATTTACCTGCAGTCTATCTTCCCTCCATACGCTTCTCAAAGCCCATTTGATCAGCTTTATGGAGGAACATAAGCGCCGATCTGAAATTTAGCCTTCCTATACTGCACCGACAGCATCCTCAAGGGTGGTGATTTTGCAAATGAAATTATTACTCTTCAGCACATGTCTTGATGCATAAGAGCACAAAAGTATAGCAGGCTAGGTGGGGGACGGAAGCCCTCAAGAGAAGAGCCAGGGAGGCTGATCAGACCTCAGATTTAAACTCCTTCTTTTCATTCACTGAGAATTACTGCACATGTGGGAAAAATGAATTGGAAACATTTGAACAATTGGACCAGCGTTCAGCAGTTCCCAAACTTGGATCCATGGGCGTTGGACTACAGCTCCCATCATCAGTAAACGCTGCTCCTGAAGGCTGGAATAAGGAGAACTGTTGGAAGCCTCCTCCACAATCCAATTGCAGTTCGGGGGTTTCCAACAGTGGACAACCTTCACAGGATCATGCTAGCATCTTACTCCAACTTGTCATATTCTGCAGGATTATTTTCCCTGGGTGGAAGATGGGAATAATCCGATGATTTTATGGGAAACCTCCATATCATTATCTCCCATGATCCGATTACAGTTTTCAGCAGGGAAGCATTTAAAGAATGTGATTTGAAGAACGTAAGAAACACAGATTTACAAACAATGTTTCCAACAGGGAAAAAATGACTTAGGATGGGATATTCAGGAAATGCAGGGCAATAAATCTGTTCTGATGTTGAGAAAAGAGGTTTTATGGATTGTTTGTTTACATTTCTTCTACGTGACTACTAATTCCTGTTCAAATCAGCGCTCTTATTTCAAAAAGTTACCCAGAAGGGCTGCTAGGTTTGAAATAAAGATGTAAAATACTTTCAGAGCCTTTTTTTTTTCTCAGCTTACTATGAGACTGCTTGTACATTTGTGTGGCCAACAGACCTGAAATTCATTGACAAAATGCTGACTTATTAATGGCTGAGGAAGAGCAGTCATAATTTCTGCTCTAGAAGCAGAATTTATAAGGTAACTTACTTGGAGTGAGCGTTAACATGCGCTGTAGCTTGTGATAATAGGTAAGTCCTGTTCCACCCAAGCATTTCTGGCTATTTCTGTGGATGTTTCTGTGCTGCCAAACAGGACACTTGAAGCTGCTTCAGGATGCATGCAAAAATTCTTTTAACTGCAGATAGGACGCCTGAGAGTAACGAAGAAAAGATGTCCAGAATGGACTAGAGAAGTGCCCAGAAGAGGAAGTGAAGGGTTAATTTATCCCTGGAATCTTAAATGTACAAATGAAAGGGGTCACCTAGGTTGCAGAGCTAATGAGATGTTGCCTAGAAACCAGGTGGAGTCCTAGGATTTTCCTGAGTTTCTGCCAGAATAGAATTCACTGTTAGCTCTACCTCCTGTTTGCACCAGAGATGGGCCACATCTGGTCTTCCAGGTCAGGCTTTCTGTCTTGACAGACCTGTTGCACCAACTCCTCAGTCACCCTAGCCATAAGAGAAATGCTGGGCCTATGCTATGGTTCAGGCACCACACCTAGTCTTTCTTTTTTATTGTTTCCTGCTTTTCGCTTTTGTATAATGCTTGGTTTTGATGTAACTGTTGTGACCTACCCGGAATTGCGTTTCTAAGATGGGTGGCCATATAAGTCTTTTAAACAAACAAACAAAATCTGCAGTTCCATTTGCAGAGTTTCACATTAAAACATTGCAACTGTCGCATTTCGGTAGCAGATTAAAAAAGCCCCTGGCCAGCCATGTGAAAATACAGTGAGCTTCAAAGCTTGACCAAGGATGGTGCAGTGGTGAAGAGGCGGGACTAGGATTCAGCCACAGAAGGTCTCTGGATGACTTCAGCCCAATCTGCCAGGGAAGCTTTAACTGGGGATCCTGCCTGGAGCAGGCGGGTTGGACTCTGTGCCATTTCCAACTCTCGGTTTCTCAGAGTCCACGAGCACTGATTTCTGGATCCTGTAATGAACCAACGCTTGATCCTCACACTTGCCTCCGTGTGGTGGTGATTCTGGGGTCTCCTTTACATCTGGAAAAAAAAAATCAAACTGTTAAAATGCACAAGTGTTTCCAGTATTTTCTCCCTAGATAACTACACTGGGAAGGCTACCTGGTGGTAGTTCAACAATACAATAACAATATTATAAGAAAAAGAAAATCAGAGAAAATGCTGGAGGTCTTCAAACAGCTTCTTCACCTAGGAAAGCAAATGTGTCAAATTCCTTATATCATCTTTCGAGTCAAGGTGGTGGATGTTTAATCATCCAGCTGCATCAGACATGCTCAGACATTTTCTCCTGCTTGTGATTAATCACTCAGAGTGAATTGTGACTGTCAGGTTTACAGTGAGAGTGAACCAAGGAAGGAAGGGTTTTCTGCCGAAAAGTTCCTGCAACTAACCAGTGTCAATCTATCATCTCACAAATTACTTTCCAGCCCTCAGGGAAATGTTCAGCCCTTGCCCACGTACTTCCTTGCCCTGTCTTGGCCCCAGACCCTCAGCAGACTCAGGCACCAAAGCTTGGAGGCTTGGAGCCCCAGTGGTTGCTCCCAACAGAAGCCCTAAATTGCAACCACCCAGGTGATTGCAATTATTAAAAATCATTAAATGCATGAAGAGTAATGTTAACGGTATTTAATTTAATCTCAGTTAAATGTAAATTAGCATAAAACTCTCTATTGTTTGGACCCATTGGTCATAAATAATTACAGGAGTATGATAAAATTAGAAAGAAAATCTTAGAACACACAATGAAACACTAAAAACACCTACCTAATTTATCAGTCTAACATCTAACGTATTAAATATTGAATCCAATACAATCATATGACCAGTTTGTAAGTGAAATAAAACTTAAGTTTTTTTTTTCTTCCCTGCCACAGAAACCTTCTGTCCAGCTAAACTGTATGTCCTTGAACTATCTTGTATCCTAAAATAAATTTCCTTTTTTCCCTTGTAGCGACTTGAGTCTCCCATAAGTCACTCTGCAAGGTGAGGGTCTTCACTAAAGCAGGGTGAGTGAAGGTAGCTTTTGGAGAAAGAGACCTAGAGTGAGTCTGACAGTAAATATTTTACAGAAGGGATGTTCTTCCAGTAACTATGATTCCAATGCTTCCATGCCACGTTGCTTAACCTGGGCCTTTCTGGATGACGACTGCTCCATTCACATATATTCAAGGACTATGTGATGACAGGGAGCCCCATCCATCTTGCTCCCCATCTCTCTGTTGGATAAAAAGAGCCCAACCTAAATATCATCCTCTTCCCTGGGTGGAGTTTCTCAACATGAGAGACGTCCCTGTTCCTTCCCTCCCCACCTTCTTTCAATGTATGTGTGGATCTGAACAGCTTTTAGTTCTTGCCTAGTAGAACTATGGCTGAACGCTGCCCCCAGTTGAAGATGAATTTGGCCGTCTGTTGGAGCACATCAGAGGGACTCTTGGCGCGCTCCATTGATCCAAGCGCAAGGCGGGAGGGATTTGGGACTGCCTGTGTCGTCGTGGCTTCTGTCCTGTGATTCCAGAGACCAAAGAAAACTGTCATCCTTGTTGATGGAGGCGCTGTCCTCACTCTGCTTGTCAAGGGATGGAAAATGTGAAGAGTGCGCCAGATGTTTCACAGATGTGCTTTGGAAAGAGCACCTGACTGCCAATGGCCCCTGGGCAACCTAGCTCTTAAAAAGAGAGGCCACAACCATGTGTTTGGCACAGGGAGGTCCAAGGAGTGCCCATCGGTGGCTGAAATTTCAGGACCAAATAAATGTTCCTCTCATGTCTCATTATAGGGGTTCTCTGCTGTATATAATTGGGCGCAGGATTGCTAACACCAAGAAGATTAATTTCTTCTTGTTTTCTTTAAAGACAAAGTTGGTCGGATTCATTTCTTTCCAAATAAGGTGTACAACAGCCAATCAAATGGATAGGCCTTGGTTTTCCAGTAAGTAACAAGTGGTGAACAGTGCTGAACCACTGAGCAATTTAATTGCTTTCCCCCCATAATTTATTAACTTTGATGCAGATTTTTTTTTTCAAATAGTTTGTTATCCCATCACAAGGGTGGGATACACGTTTAGCTCCTTTCCTGGACTTTTCTAATCCACTCTCTCCCTGACACCCAGGGAAGATTTTGCCTAAGGGTGTGTTTGCGTGCGGCTTCCCTTCTGGTGCCTTTTTGTCTATCTCAGTGGCGTCTCCTCCCTGGCAATGGAGACTTCGGGGACACAAACTTTTTATGCACTAGGCATGTCCACAACTCCTCGGCATGGCCTGGAGCCATGGTTAATGACAAGATAAATGGTCTAATCCTGTATTAAGTGCATCATTTTAGTAATAAGCGCTTTAATTTTTCTCCAGTAAACTTCTCATATTCTGACAGCTCTAAAAGTGATGGCATTTTGAAAGGTAACCACCTCTATCACAATGTCTATCCTTAACAAAGGCACATGTGAACAACGCAAGTAAGTGTGTCATTTTATGGCTAGTTGGCCATGGAGAGAACCCATGAAATGAAAAGTCTCAGGAGCCGATATTTTTGTATTAATATTTGTGTGTGTGAGTGTGTGTGTGTGTGTGTGTGTGAGGGAGAGAGAGAGAGAGAAAACCCAACCCTATAATAATATTATGGAAATTGCATAAGGCAGGGAAGGAGTGGAATATCTGCCTGGGCTTGGGCTGGGAACTGCAATCGTCCTGTGGCTGATGGATGTCAATTAGTTTGACTTCCTTGAAATCTCGTGTGTCATTTTCGGCGGAGGGTCCCCACCATTTTTGGCCCTCAGATGCTGCACTTATCAGCCTGTGACAGAGAGGCACTGAGCTTAACCCGCTGCAACTGAATGCCTCTATTCACTCACTTGACTGAAGAACGGCATCGACTTTGGGGTTTTTGTTGGCTCCCGGCTGCCCGGAGCAGGAGCTTCTGGGGCTCCCTTTGCCTCTTGGCCTTCCGTGAGCTGTGGCCGGTTCAGGGTCCTCCTTGAGCAAGAACAGCCTTCGCTGGCGGTGGAAACGGGCCGCCCGCATCGAATGCAGAAGAAGCTCGCTCTCTTTCTCTGGAAGGAGGACCAGCCAGCCAGACACAGGCCTGGCGCCCTCGCTGGGCTAAGCCAACATCTCTTACACAAACACAGAGGTGGGAGTAACCATAACCATGGTTTATAAATCACAGTGACTGCACTCAAGCCCCAGGTTAAGTTGCGATATGGCGGTGTGGTGGTGAGCCCATCCTTACTGAGCATGCCTGAGTGTGTGTTGTGAAGAGGAAGCCTCTAAGTCCTCCCACAAAGCAGCAACTGTGATGCATCAACGCCGCGTGGAAGCAGGCCCGGGTTGATCTGCAGACTGCAGTCGCAGTTCCCAAATACTGATCCAACAGCACCTGGCTGGAAATGAGCCCCATGGCTCACCCCTTCGTCTTGGGAGCGGGGGCTGGTGGGCCCTTTGCAGGGGGCAGGTGGTCTCCACTCGCCCCTTACTGACCCTCAGCCTCACACAGTGGGAGGAAGGAGGAATCCTTCGAGGAAGCCGGTGGGAAGCTGCTGTTCTCCTTTGTCAGGTATTGTTGTGTTGATACAATCTGTGACTATTGTATTGCCTGTCTCACGATACGCTCAGGGTCGGGGCCGACAGACATGAGGGAGAAAGGAACTCCAGCTCTGAATTGTTCTTGACAATCTGTTTCTCTAGATACAAAGTTCAGCTGATCGGCTGATGATTTCATCAGTTACCGCTGTACGAGCATCCCAAGCAGGCACTGAGGGCCCTGCCCTCGGGCTTCCGGATTTTTACACTTCAGATTCAGCAAGACTTTCTGTTGTTTTCTCGGCCACGGAGCTGAAGGGATTTGCCAGTGCCACCATCTCCTTCAGGACTCCCCAGTCTCCCCCACAGCGGCTGTACCGGATTTCCAGGCAGCATCTCATCCAAGCACTAACCAGGCTCACTCCCGCTTAGCTTTTTTGAGGTCAGCCCAGGCACAGCTGGGCTTCCTAGGTGGAGGACTCAGTCTCGCAGTCTTGTCAGCAACACCAAGAATAAGAAACTGTCCGGGACCGCCAAGCCCATGACCGATCTGGCGCCTGGAGGATGGAGCCTTCATTCGAGCCAGCAGGTCTCCTCCCCTCCCATCTCACAGCGGCCCATTTCTCCTTCCGCCTGATGGCCGGCCCTCCTAAGTCTACTTTCTCAATGATGCATCCTGTTGATTGGAATGAATATGGCAAGGCCAATTTCCTGAGTCGCTCACATTCATTCTGCATCTTATTTAACAGACAGAATGCATCCTGCAAGGAGTTACTAGCTTTGCACAAGAAATGGTGATTCTGCTGGTTTGAGCTGTAACTTGCTCAGTTAATTTCCAGGGATGTGTGTTGCTGGAAAAGTCCTCCTCCTCCTCCTCCCTGTGAGAGGCAGATCCAAACTTCCTAGTCACTTTCCTCCCCCCACCCCTGCCCAAGGTTTGACAAAGCAAGAAGAGAAGCCATAGTTTAAGTTTAGTTCAATCCTCAGTTTGTTAGATAACCTTTTATTTCCAATCTGCACAAAAGACTCCTGCAACAATAGAAGCCCGACGGTGTGCCCTGTGTTGGCAAGAGGGGCATCTGCAGTGGCAGATGTCCTTGCACCCACGCCTTTCACATCTCGTTGCCCAACTAGTTAACATTGGAACTATTAGTTAGTATTTCAACTAGCCACCTGGGAGCATTCCTGCAAAAAGGCCATTATAAGCCATGTGCTGCCAATTAATTCTTTGCCTCGTACCAGGAAATAGAAGACTAAATTGGTTTCGAGAATGATAGTTTCATTACCAGCTTATTGCACAAAACTTGCTCATTTGTAAATTCAATTTCTCCTCCCAGTGGCTGAAGGCCATGGAAAAGATGATGGAGACACTCTTCGTTCATAGAAACATCACCATGCTTGCAGTATGCGTTGGAGGTGCAAGATACGTACCGTTGTTTTGAGCGTATTTCTGCAGACATGCCGCACTGAAAGGAATCGCAACCTAATTCAGGAACGGTGTTCATACCA